ACTTCCTTTGCTCCTTGTCTCATTGTAAAAATGTAAAAATGTCTTTTGCTTCCTTCCCCTCTTGGATTAGGGTGTTTAAAGGTCATAAGGAATAAATGTGGGGGGTGGGAGGATTCAGTATTCACTGGGTTGCCCTCCAGATGCTATCTTACATCTCTGTATTTCTTTTAGATCTCTGTTTATTCTGCGTGACGTTTCTAACCTACCCGCCCTTACCTGGAACGTAGGAACCTGTTGGGGCTGGACCCGGACAAGAAGGAAAAAAAATGTTGAAACTATATTATAATCTCAAAAATATAGAAGCTTTAATAAGTTGGGAACAGGTTAAAAACTGACAAGGGGGTTGGGCTGGGGCATAAGTCAGTCTGAGTGCTAGCGGCACACCAGCAAGAACACGAAAGTCAGCGGCTGGGACGCTGCAGACCGAAGACTGGATGAGAAGGAGCAGCCCCTGAAAGACAAACCCTGAACGCTGGGGCGGCGGGAGAAAGGAACATCATTGTGTAGTCAGCCAGAAAAGCCTCCTGGGTCGGACCATGAAGGTCAAGATCTCAAAGAGAATGGATGTTTGTGTTTTCATGGTCTTCATTTTCGTGAATGACACAAGCCATCTTTCTGTACAGCATAACCACAGACCGGGGCCCAAGTCATCACCCTCCTGGTGGCTGATGGCTGCATTCCTTATCAGTCTCCTCACAGTTCTGCTAGATGGGGTCATATATTGTTTATTCTTTTTTTTCTTTTAAAGATTTACTCACTTATTTTAATGCGTATGAGAATTTGCCTACATGTAAGTGTGCCTGGTGCCCTCAGAGACTAGAGCAGGCAGTGCTCTTAGCCACTGAGTCATCTCTCTGGCTCTCTGTTTACTCATCATAAGCAGCATGGAAAGATTCAGCTATGAAGTGTGAGGCAAGGCAACCTCTGAATGAATGGTGGGAAGCACAGATTCTGCAACGTGTAAATTCAATATGGAACATGGCGCCCATTCTGTTTTAGACGATGATCGAATTCCTTTTAATTCTTATCCGTCATACAGTCCTCTGCTTTACTATAAACAAAAGAGAAAACATTAAGTATCTGTGTATTGAGACACAGTCTTATTAAGTACTCTTGGCTGGCCTGTACTCCACTCTATAGACCAGGCCTTGTTCGGTCTCACAGAGATCTGCCTGACTATGAGCCGGGATTAAAGGTGTGTGCCACCACACCTGACTATGTCCTTTTAAAGAATTACTTTATTCTTAAATATGTTGTGTGCCCATGCACATGGGTGTGGAAGCCAGAAGAAGGCATTGGATCCACACTGAAACTGATGTTAAAACAGGTGTGCCACAATTTGTGTGGGTCCTGGGGGTTGAACTTGGGTCCTCTGCAAGAGCAGCAAGTGCTTTTAACCACTGAGCCATCTCTCCAGCTCTTAAATATATGTATTTTAAATTAACTTGAAGAAGGTAACAAAGCTAAGGATTTTCAAAACTCTTCTCTGTGGACCTTGGTATAGCAATGGAATTGTTACTTTTCAGATAAATGTTGATTAGGTTTGATCCCATTTCTCATACTTATTTGATATCAGCCCTGGCCGAAAGCAACGCGAGAGTAAAATTCACCCTGTTTCTCAGAGAAAAGCAGACAGTAAGAAGATCTGCCAAAAGACACAACAGCTGTTTTACAAATATATTCTGCTTCTTCAGAACTGCTGGTAGAGGTTTGCATTTCATATTCAAAAAGCCATTTCCTCTTTTGCTTCACCCAAGGACAGGGAAAGATTTCTGATTGGGCTTTGTTCCCAGTGAATGAGTGGGAGGTGACCTGGGCCTAAAGAGCCTAGGGCCTGAAGAACCAGAACACAAGTCTCAATGTGAGAGTCCTAATTTAAGTCCCAGCTACTCCTCTTGACAATAGGAGTGACAACCACTGACTCCTTGGCATTTTCTGAGGCTTTAATCCCTGGAAGGATGTAAATGATCACAAATGCATGATAATTTAGTGTAATGATTGGTAACAGTATAGAAACATTTCCCGAGGAAATAAATGTGGTCATTGACCAACCACATCTTAAAATCTCCTAAGAAACTTCCCAAGTGGCTTGGGTGCTGGGAAGGAACAAACAAGAAAGGGACAGTCATCTAAGCTGCACCTCAGAGCGACACACACTCACACACACAGAGACTCCTCCCCCCTTCCATGTGTGTGTGCATGCACACGTGTGTGTGTGCCTGTATCTGTGTGTATGTTGATAAAGGGTTCTACTATGGAGCCCAGGCTGAATTTGAACTGAAGATGGTCCTGTCTTAGCCCACTGGCACCAGCCAGGTGTGCAGCACCATGGCCAACAAGATAAGAGAACTCCCACTAGGGCTGGCTTGATCCTTAATAGAACACTAGGAGGGGTATGACTTAGATTTAGCGAATTGAGCAAAATCAGTACTTCTGATAAGTTTTCTTTCCATTTTTTTCACTGGAGTAATCAAGTGATATTACTATTTGAACATTCAGAGCTTATTTTCTTCTAAGAAGGAAAAAACTTTATAAAAAGAATATTCATTGAGGCTTTATCAATATAGTATAAGATTCTTATGCACAATAAATAAATAATATGATGTCAGTGCATCCGTGAGTCCTATGCAACATTAATAAGCCAATGTAAAATTTACTTTTACGTTAAGGAAGAACCTTTTTGAAAGCCCTTAAAATTCTGGAGGCAACAGCAGGCAAGGCATTCTGAAGACTGACAACAGTGACCTACAGAACATCACTGAGTATCTGCACTTGCAGAACATGTCGGCCATCAGGTATCTGTTAGGTGGGAGGCGGTCAGAAGGAGCAGGGACGGAGGGTGCTCGCAGTGACAACATTCCCAGTGAAAGGAGTGGAGAGAGTGTGGTCAGGGCAGAGAATGAAGCTCTCCCCTTGCCTTGAGCGCTGATGTCTTCCTAGAAGCTGAACATGTTTGTAACACAGCTCTAATTTCCTGTGGGCAATTTAAAAAAAGAATATATATATATATATATCATGCTGCTCGTGCTAATAATCTTGTATGAGACTTGCATTAAAAAGTAAAAACACAGGCAAACACATTCCAGCTTGCTGAATCACCCAGGCTGCTTCTCAGCAGCCCCTCCCTGGTCCTACAGTCCACAGATATAAGCAGACCAAAACACAAATACCTAGAAAACATTCCAAGTACAGCGGGGTGTTTGGAAATGATTGCAGACTCAGGGGCAGGCTTGACTCAATGCTCAATGCCTCACTTTGGGAGGGTCACTCTCACTTCTGATGTGGTCATGTGGCCTAGATAGGCCTGACTTATCTTATTTCCATGCTTGCCTTTCATGCCTTAAAACAAAAACCAAACAAAAAACGCCGGCTAGCCTTGGCCAGAAGAAAAAAAAAGAAAAAGAAAAGAAAAAAGAAATGAAAACAGAAACATTCAACCATTTATCCGCCATGTCATTGGTAGAGCCTTTCCAAATCTGTGCCGGTTATCATACAGCACTGGGGTCCCAACAGAAGGCTTGTCAACAGACTCTATTTACAACCCTTGAGGAAAAACCCTCTTGCTTTTTTTTTTTGTCACTCCTGCAGAAGAGAGTTTGCAAAGAGGGCCCATCTGGCTGGGCTTCCAAAGCACACTGTCTGGTGCTGTTGATAACGCCATTGTTTGTTTTGATCATGGCAGCGTCTAAAATGTTCTTGTTCAGGAATAACATCCTGCCCCCACCAAACATATTCATCTACGGCGTAGATGCAATCCGTGCCATTCCCTCAGTGTTCGACTTTCCTCCTGCTCGAAGTGTCCAACCTGCCCAGAACCTGGCTGCTCAAAGGCAGCAGCTCCACTTGGCACACCTGGGAAACGCCTTTCATTCAAATAAAAGGAAGTTGGCTGACTGACGTGACTATGCCATTTGGGGCGAGCAATTCACGAGTATTCATTCTGTATGTTTAATGGGGGAACAGCTACACACTGTACAGATAACTGATATGTTGATTTCAAATGTGTATCTTCCTTTTCGGTCAGAGTCTGGGGTAGGAGGTCCTTCTGTATTTCTGTTGCTTTCATTGGTTTAATAAAGAGAGTGCCTTGGCCTTTTGATAAGGCAGCCCTTAGGTGGGCAGAGTAGACAGAACAGAATGATGGTAAGAAGGGAAGTGTGGCAGATGTCATGCTTCTTCTGGCCAAGACGGACGTTGGTTAGACTCATGCCGGTAAGCCACGGTCAAGTGGCGATACACAGATTTAATAGAAAGGGGTTAATCAAGATATGAGAGTTAGCCAATAAGAGGTTAGAGCTAATGGGTCAGGCAGTAATCTAATTAATACAATTTCCAGGTGGTTATTTCGGGGGTTAAGCTAGCCAGGCTCGTCCTACAACAAGAGCCAGATCCAAGGACTCACGCGAGCTCCCAAATAAAAACTCTGTTTATACAAAAGTCACACTTGATCTCAGACATCTCTGAAATAAAAAGGCCCCCAGAAAGACAAAGCCCATAGTTGCTGTTTTCATTTTTCTTTATAGTGAAAATTGGGAGAAGAATTAATGTGGCTCGATGTCTCTAAATTGTGTTCTTGACCACATTTGAGCAGTGTGCCTCAGGGACACCTCAAAGCCTCAGGGATAACAGAGAGGGTAAAGCCACCATGAAGCCTCAGGAGAAACAGAGAGGGTAAAGCCACCATGAAGCCTCAGGAGAAACAGAGAGGGCAAGGCCACCTTGACGCCTCAGGAACAACTGAGTGGTAAAGCCACTGTGCAGGGCATCAAAACTGGACAATGTAACAGGTTAGCATCATCTCTGGAGGCATTAGTACAGTCCACACGCTGAGTGCGGGCTGAGTTTCCGAGTGAGGCGTTTTCCCACCGTATAGCTGAGAGGGAGGGACCTCAGCCACACACTTTGGAAACAGAGTCTACCCGCGGTCTACCTGGGAACGCAGTCAAAGAAAAGAGACTGCATGGCAGAGGCGTACAGAAGAGAAAATAGCATGTACTCACTGTGTTAAAATTTGGAAAGAGCCCGACAGCAGAACTACTGTCCACTGGAAAAGACATGAACGGCTTGATGTCCAGCGAAGGCTGCATCATCAGGGTGGGTGTGCGCACCAGAGCAGGAATGGTCGCGGCGTGGCACGCGCTGCCTGCCAAGGACAAAGCAAAGCAAACTCAGCCTCTCGCTCACACCCATTCCCTCCCAGGCGCGCTGGACCAACCCAAGGCTGCTGAGCTGTGACCTGCAAACACAAGAGTCACAGAAGCAAGCACCTGAAGAACACCGTCAAGAAGAGCTCTCCATGGACTGAAAGACCTGCAGAGTACTTCCCTGTGCATAAGCCAAGGGCTTCTCAGGGTCAGGTGACACACTGTCCCCAGGCCACACCAGTGGGTGTGGCACACTGCGAATGTCCTGCTGTCCCACCCTCCTGGCGTCTTTGAGAACCCACAGAGCCACAGACTGCTGGAGAATAGAGGAGGGGGTCTCAAGATGCTCTTTACTGTTGGGAGTAAATAGCCAGCAACAAATTTTATGCAAATCCAAGATAATTACTGTGGTTTTTATGAGGAAGGAAAACTTGAACTTTGGCAGTTACTGGCTATCGTTATGACTCAATTCATTGTCTTAAAAATGATCACAGAATTTTCCTTACTCTAGGGGGAAGAGGAAGTCTGGACATGGGATGGCTGGAGAACACAAGAAGGCAAGCTATGGTCTGGCGGTAGACAGGGAGTCTGGAGGCAGGAACTCATCATTTTGTCTTAATTTTTACACCCAATGAATTTGTATTCTTTGGGCACCTGTCCCCTTGAATAGTAATAGTAGCCCTTCCCTCCTTTGGTATCTGGTTTAGTGTAGGACTGGGTAATTTAGAACGATGTTGGTATTTTTCCTAGTCATTAACAGTCAGAGTATAGATACATTTGCTGGCATGGCTGGTTCTCTGGAAGGCAGGCTATGGCATGCATGCGTGTGTGTGTGTATGTGTGTGTGTGTGTGTGCGCGCGTGCAAGAGAGAGAAAGAGAGAGAGAGAGAGAGAGAGAGAGAGAGAGAGACCAGAAGTCAAGTGTCATTTCTCAGGAACCCACCACCCTGTTTTCTGAGTCAGGTGTTTTAATTGGGGTTTTTCAGATCTGGTAGGCTGGCAAGCCAGTAGACCAAGGGATCCTGTTGCCTCTGCCTACCCGATACTGCAAGAGTGATCTCCCAGAATGTACCACCCTGGTTGCCTTTTATGTGGGTGCTGGGGATCAAACTTAAGTCCTTATGGTTGCATGGCAAGCACTTTATCAACTGAGCAACAACATACACAGTCATATGTATGTATGTATGTATGTATGTATGTATGTATATATACTAATCACATATCAGACAATTCACCCACTTAACCTATAAATTCAGTAGTTTTTTGGCACATTCAGAGTGACAGATGAACACCATCTTCACATGCAGAACGTTTTTGTGACTTAAACTCTACATGTAGCTGCAGTCTCTTCCCATTTTACCCAGCATCCTTAGCGCCTGACAACCACCAATCAATTTTATGTTTAGATTTACCAGAACACACCATTTAAATAAAACCTCCCATGTCTTTTGTGACTGCCTTTGTTCGTCTGGGATGAGTGCTTTCACTCATACTGTGGCATCCACCAGCGTACTGTGTCCTTTCGAGGCTGAAGGCTCTTTTGCTGTGGGAAGGTTCCCCATTTTGCATGTTCATTTATAAGATCATGGATGTGGATCAATTGTACTTTGAGGACATTCTGAAGAGGGTTGAGGCCTTCATCACCACCAATAGCACACGAGGGCTCAGTTCTCCCTGGCTTATCTGTCTTGGATCACACAATAATTTCACGCCTAGAATCTCTCGCTTGCTTCAAGGAGAAATGAGGACTGAGAGAAAACGCCCCATCCATTGAAGTGTCCACCAGCCTCTTCCAGCCTCAAATCACTGATGTAAACAAGTGAGCCTCAGGGATCACTTGTTTTGGTAATGAGTTTCCAAAGAAACCGGTGGCATGTTGCCAAGCACTTGTGGGTAGTATTGGCAATAGTGTTTAACAGTGTCAAAGCTCATTTACACTGATCTTTTAAAAAATATATATATTTAAAAAAGGAAAAGAAATAAGAGAAAAGGGGCACCTGAAGTATTATCTGTAATAGCCATTCAGATCAGTCATGGCCATTAGGAAATACATATGAGGGCTTAGTACAGAGAATCAGCCAGGAGTGTAGACCAAACAGTGTTGTGGTTTGTTTCTCTGATGCTCAATTCAATAATCTGGTTTGGTCTGGTATGCATACACCACCGGCATTTAAGTACAGGTTATTCTCCTATCAGGTAATGCTATCTCCACTGGTAACCTCAAGCCTGAAGATCCAAGATGATGTATGACATCATTGCGTCCAATGTCGCAGAGGCATATCTGAAAGGATTCACTTTAAAATCGTAGCTAAATTGAAAGCTAGAGAAAATGGCCCTCGGCAATTTATCAACATAATTATTATTAGAATTGTAAAGTACAAAGAGTGAGCAGGTAGATTAATCTAAGTCGCCTACTGAACGAACAGAACTGTTTTGTGGCTGTTGGGTCTCTGAAAGGGAAACCAAGCTCCATCTCTAGGGCCTTAATGGTGGCTGTAACAAAAGCAGGTAACACAGAGGCCCCCAGGGCCTGGTGAGAGTCACGCTACACTAACAAACTCAAATCAGACAGAAGGCACTGGGCAAACTCACAGATTGCTCCTCAATGAAGGTCAGAGTGTTCCGCCGTCCTCCTCACCCAATCACATCTCTATGCTAATAGACGGGAGGCTGGAGAACTACTTAGCTTCCACTGTTCATTAGCATAAAAACTTAGCAGCTGCTTACCATTCATTAGCATTTTAATGACACAATTTGCCACATTAAACACAGATTGTTTTAAAGTACTGATGGGTCTTCTGAACAAACCACGCTCCCATCAATACCTTCACCTCACTCTTGCTGTTGCCTGTTTTTTTTTTAGCAAGGCTTCGCCAACACTGATGGCGAGGGCAGAAGCTTCTGCAGATCGGAATGAAAGGCGAAGCAGAAAGCGGCCGCCCTCCCACAAGGCCCACGGTCTGAAGCTCTGTACTCTTTGATCGGCTGTCACTTAATTCCAGATTTTGCTACTACTGCAGGCAAGCCTTCCTTGTCACCTTTGGGTGCCGGAAAGTCACTTAAGATTTGTGAGCAGAAATTTGGTTAAAATGCATTGCACCCTACAAGAAAATGGTCATTTTTTTTTAAGAGCCAACGACTTGCTGAGAAAAAAAAAAAAAAGAACGAACGAAAAGGTTAACAATGTAATAATGAGCACTTCCGCGCAAAAGTGCCCCCTTTGCATTGCTGTGGTCATGAGACAGGAACAATATTTAACTTTATAAAAAAGCAAGCTTGGGGGTTAAGGGAAAAGGGCAGTTATTAAGGAAAGTGCTGTTTATTAGGATACGAGGCGTGCTCCGGCTTAGACCGAAATGCGCGTGCGCGGGCCCGTGCCCAGGGCAAAGTGGATGCGGTCCGCTGGTGAGCGTGGCACTGTCTTTTGATTTTCTGCAATTATCCATTTATTCATCTGTACCTGTGACTCTGAAGGGTGTGTGTGTGTGTGTGTGTGTGTGTGTGTGTGTGTGTGTGTGAGAGAGAGAGAGAGAGAGAGAGAGAGAGAGAGAGAGAGAGAGAGAGAGAGA